AATTGTTTTACTTGGGTCAAACGTTTCGGGTTGCCTTCTACAAGCTTCCCACAATAAGTTGGGTGAATTTTGGCCCAATCCTCCTGACAGAGCTGGTGTAACTGAGTCAGGTTTGTAGGCCTCCTTGCTCGCACACGCTTTCTCAGTTCTGCCCACACATTTTCTATAGGATTGAGGTCAGGGCTTTGTGATGGCCACTCCAATAACTTGACTTTGTTGTACTTAAGCCATTTTGCCACAACTTTGGAAGTATGTTTGGGGTCATTGACCATTTGGAAGACCCATTTGCGACCAAGCTTTAACTTCCTGACTGATGTCTTGAGATATTGCTTCAATATATCCACATCATTTTCCTTCCTCATGATGCCATCTATTTTGTGAAGTGCACCAGTCCCTCCTGCAGCAAAGCACCCCCACAGCATGATGCTTCCACCCCCGTGCTTCACGGTTGGGATGGTGTTCTTCGGCTTGCAAGCTACCCCCTTTTTCCTCCAAACATAACGATGGTCATTATGGCCAAACAGTTATATTTTTGTTTCATCAGACCAGAGGACATTTCTCCAATAAGTACGATCTATGTCCCCATGTGCAGTTGCAAACCGTAGTCTGGCTTTTTTATGGTGGTTTTGGAGCAGTGGCTTCTTCCTTGCTGAGCGGCCTTTCAGGTTATGTTGATATAGGACTCGTTTTACTGTGGATATAGATACTTTTGTACCTGTTTCCTCCAGCATCTTCACAAGGTCCTTTGCTGTTGTTCTGGGATTGATTTGCACTTTTCGCACCAAAGTATGTTAATCTCTTGGAGACAGAACGTGCCTCCTTCCTGAGCGGTATGACAGCTGCGTGGTCCCATGGTGTTTATACTTGCGTACTATTGTTTGTACAGATGAACGTGGTACCTTCAGGCATTTGGAAATTGCTCCCAAGGATGAACCAGAGTTGTGGAGGTCTACACATTTTTTTCTGAGGTCTTGGCTGATTTCTTTTGATTTTCCCATGATGTCAAGCAAAGAGGCACTGAGTTTGAAGGTAGGCCTTGAAATACATCCACAGGTACACCTCCAATTGACTCAAATGATGTCAATTATTCTATCAGAAGCTTCTAAAGCCATGACATAATTTTCTGGAATTTTTCAAGCTGTTTAAAGGCCCAGTCAACTTAGTGTATGTAAACTTCTGACCCACTGGAATTGTGATACAGCGAATTATAAGTGAAATAATCTGTCTGTAAAAAATTGTTGGAAAAATTACTTGTGTCATGCACAAAGTAGATGTCCTAACCGACTTGTCAAAACTATAGTTTGTTAACAAGAAATTTGTGGAGTGGTTGAAAAACGAGTTTTAATGACTCCAACCTAAGTGTATGTATACTTCCGATTTCAACTGTAATGTAGGTAGGGGTAAAGTGACTATGCATAAATAATAAACAGCGAGTAGCAGCAGCGTAAAAAAAAGGAGGGGCCAATGCAAATTGTCCGGGTAGCCATTTGATTAACTGTTCAACAGTCTTATGGTTTGGGGGCAGAAGCTGTTAAGGAGCCTTTTGGACCTAGACTTGGCGCTCTGGTACCGCTTGCCATGCGGTAGCAGAGAGAACAGTCTATGACTAGGGTGGCTGGAGTCTTTGACAATTTTGAGGGCCTTCCTCTGACACCGCGTGGTATAGAGGTCCTGGATGGCAGGAAGCTTGGCCCCAGTGATGCACTGGGCCGTACGCATTACCCTCTGTAGCACCTTGTGGTCGGATGCTGAGAAGTTGCCATATCAGGGAGTGATGCAACCAGTCTGGATGCTCTCGATGGTGCAGCTTTATAACTTTGAGGACCCATGCCAAATCTTTTCAGTCTCCAGAGGGGGAATAGGTGTTGTCGTGCCCTCTTCACGACTGTCTTGGTGTGTTTGGACCATGATAGTTTGTTGGTGATGTGGACACCAAGGAACTTGAAGCTCTCGACCTGCTCCACTACAGCCTCGTCGATGTGAATGGGGGCGTACTCGGCTCTCCTTTTCCTGTTGTCCACGATCAACTCTTTTGTCTTGATCACGTTGAGGGAGAGGTTGTTTTCCTGGCACTACACTGCCAGGACCTCCTCCCTATAGGCTGTCTCATTGTTGTCATTGTGTCACACCCTGACGTATGGGACTCTAGTATGTTGAGTCAGGGTGTGGAGTTCTACGTTGTATTTTCTATGTTCGCCTTCTAGGTTGTGTATTTCTATGTTTGGCCGGGTGTGATTCCCAATCAGAGGCAGCTGTCGCTCGTTGTCTCTGATTGGGGATCATACTTATGTAGCCTGTTGGCACTCATTAGTTGTGGGTTCTTGTTCCGTGTTAGAGGCTTGTATTGTGGTTAGCCTTCGGACTTCACGTTACGTTGTTTTGTTGTTTTTTTAGTGTGTTTTTCGTTGTAATAAACATGTATGCTTTTCACGCTGCGCCTTGGTCTGACCCGTCCTTAAACGAACGTGACACATTGATCAGGCCTACCACCGTTGTGTCGTCGGTAAACTTAATGATGATGTTGGAGTCGTGCTTGGCCACACATTCGTGGGTGAACAGGGAGTACAGGAGGGGACTAAGCACACACCCAGGGTCCTTAGCTTAGTGATGAGCTTTGAGGGCACTATGGTGTTGAACGCTGAGCTGTAGTCAATGAATAGCATTCTCACGTAGGTGTTCATTTTGTCCAGGTGGGAAAGGGCAGTGTGGAGTGTAATAGAGATTGCGTCATCTGTGGATCTGCTGGGGCGGTATGCGAATTGGAGTGGGTCTAGGGTTTCTGGGATGATGGTGTTGATGTGAGCCATGACCAGCCTTTCAAAGCACTTCATGGCTACAGACGTGACTGCTACGGGTCGGTAGTCATTTAGGCAGGTTACCTTGGCGTTCTTGGGCACAGGGACTATGGCGGTCTGCTTGAAACATGTAGGTATTACAGTTGGTCAGCGCATGCTCTGAGTACACGTCCTGGTAATCCATCTGGCCCTGCGGCCTTGTGAATGTCGACCTGTTTAAAGGTCTTACTCACATCGGCTAAGGAGAGCGTGATCACAAAGTCGTCCGGAAGAGTTGGTGCTCTCATGCATGCTTCAGTGTTGCTTGCCTCGAAGCGCGCATAGAAGTCATTTAGTTAATCTGGTAGCCACATGTATGATGAAGCTTATTATTTTCAAAAGAAGATTGTTGTTTGTGGCTTTTTAAAAAGCCATGTGAATGAGAGTGGTTGTCTGTGTACAACTTTTGTATGCATGGTGTATACGTGAGGTGTGCATGTGCATTTGTGAGTGTGTGTTTCTCTCTCTGTGTGTGTTCCTGTGTAGTGTCTAATTGATTTACTACCCAGGTCAATGGCTATGTGGTTAAAGAGGAGATCAGCTCACACATCCTGTAGTTAGGTTCTCACTCTCATCACGAGGCAATCATCCCCCAAGTCATATGTTTTTCTGTTCTGATCTGTGTGTGTGTGTGTTTGTGTGTGTGTGCGCGCGTGTGTGTGTGCGTGTCGTAATTAGTCAATTGCCTTTTTCTAAAAAACAGAAGAATCTAAATGCACATTCACTTTATTCCAGTCAACATTACAGTATTTCACACATTGTACAACAAGCCTGGGTTATTACAGTAACAAGCCTGGGTTATTCCGGTAACAACCCTGGGTTATCACATTAACAAGCCTGGGTTATAATAGTAACCAGCCTGGGTTATTACAGTAACAAGCCTGAGTTATTACAGTAACAAGCCTGGGTTATTACAATAACAAGCCTTGGATATTACAGTAACAAGCCTGGGTTATTACAGAAACCATCACATGTCCAAATATATTCACATCAAAAACAAATCATACTGCTGTCTGACAGGCCCATACTGTATGTGTCTGATGATAATACAGGCAGCTATCAAATCAATGAGGCCTAATACTACCCAGTGCACGTGACACACACATGAACACACACACAGGTACTCAGGCTAACTAGCTGAACATTTGGTATTTGGTATTTATTAGGCTTCCCATTAGCCGCTGCAAAAGCATCAGCTACTCTTCCACATTACATAATACATAGTGCAGAACATTATTCCTGCCTGAAAGCTCCTCCCCCACACCTGAACCCTGTCCAATCAATAAAGCTGCTTTCTGTTGACAGACAGATAGCACCTGTAATGAGCCCGATCTTCAGGATTGATTGATTGGTAATAGATAGACGATAGATTGATCTATCTGCTGAATGAATGAATGCACTCCAATCAACTGTATTGATATGGGCTATAGCTGATAGTTGATAGGACATGTCAATACCCAGTAGTAGCCTACTATATATCTCACTGGAAGGGAACTCCTAATACTGCTAACATGCTCCCTTCCCCCTTTAACCCTCCCTTAAATGAATCACTAATCTAACACGACTGGATCGCTGAGAGCTAATTGATGCTGCTGCATAGCTGTCATCAATCCAGTCATCTCAGATCAGTGATTACCTAAGGAAGAAAGAGGAAAAATGTGTTTCATTCAGAATGAAGCAGGAAGAAGTCACAGACCATAAAAAACAATATATATATATAACTGTAATCACATAATGCCATTGGTTGCCATGTGCCAAATGATGAAATCAAATATTTGGTGTTCTGATCCACATTCATAACAATACATATGATATCTCCATCTCTAGTTATTTGGTCATAACAGTGGGTGAGTTGAATATGACCCAGTTGTGCATGGTGTTTAATTCTGTTTTTATGTGAGTAGTTCTGAACAATGAGACAGAAGTACTGTGAAAAGAGGGATTGTTTTCATCTGTACTATAAATACAGTCACTGCGGTGTGTGTGTGTGTGTGTGTGTGTGTGTGTGTGTGTGTGTGTGTGTTTTGTGCTATGCAGTGTGAGGGTTTGGCCACTAGGCTGTGCATGGGAGAAACTCAAGATGATACTGTACCTCTCAGGCCGTTTGGGTGAGACCCGTTACTCCTTTGCAGTGGTGTGTGGTGGTTCAGTGTGTGTTCAATGTGTTCAGTGTGGCCTGGGTACAGGGTGTTGCAGGGTCATGTGTTCAGCTCCAGTGAAGGGCAGTCTGTGTGTACAGTAGTGGTTCACCACCTCTGGTATGCTGTTGAACACACAGCTACTCTGGTCCAGGGTATAACCCAGACCCTTACTGCCCTTAGTCTGGGCCACGATGATATGGACACAACACTGACTGGTCCTGAGAGAGAGAGCGAGAGAGAGAGAGAGGAGAAGAGAGAGAGGAAGATAGAGGAAGAGAGGGAGAGAGAGAGAGAGAGAGAGAGAGGAGAGAGAAATCGTCTATCTAGAGAGTGAAAAAGAGAGAAGAGGAGGCGAGGTCTCTTCGATCTCCCTCTTTTTTCTCTCCCTCTCTCTCTCTCTCCTCTCTCTCTCTCGCTCTCTCCTCTCTCTCTCTCTCTCTCTCTCTCTCTCTCTCTTCCCTCTTTTTCTCGTGCCTCTCCCTCTCCCTTCTCTCTGTTCCCTCTCTCTTCTCTCTGCTTTATTTACTTTCACTCTTAGCAGAGAGAGGACTTGTGTGATGTAATTTTACTGTTCACTTTTTATTGTTTATTTCACTTTTGTTCACCCTTTCACTTGCTTTGGCAATGTAAACATATGTTTCCCATGCCAATAAAGCTCCTTGAATTGAGAGAGCGAGAGGAGGGGGGAGAGATAGAGAGGGAGTGAGGAGAGAGAGAGGGGGTAGAGGGGGGGTCGGAGAGGGCTATAAGCTAGGGGAGAGCGCTCGTTGGATTCTCTTTATCTCCTTTCTCTCTTCTTTCTCTTCTCTCTCGCTCCTCTCTCTCTACTCTCCTCTATCTTCTTCTGAGCTCGAGAATCCCCCCCCCCATATTACTTCAGTAACAGGGAGAGATGCAGTGCTATAGCAACATAACTAGAGGATACAGTAGGGATGTCTGGACTGTGGCAAAGGGTTAGGGGCTTAGTTATTCCAACACATGCTGCTCACCCTCCATGTATGTGGGTGTGTAATGTGGTTCATGATGAGCGCTCACTGAAGAGTGATAAGTGCTCTACAACATTCGGAGAGTGCGACCCTGCCTTACACAGGAAGCGGCGCAGGTCCTGGTCCAGGCACTTGTCATCTCCCGTCTGGACTACTGCAACTCGCTGTTGGCTGGGCTCCCTGCCTGTGCCATTAAACCCCTACAACTCATCCAGAATGCCGCAGCCCGTCTGGTGTTCAACCTTCCCAAGTTCTCTCACGTCACCCCCCTCCTCCGCACACTCCACTGGCTTCCAATTGAAGCTCGCATCCGCTACAAGACCATGGTGCTTGCCTTTGGAGCAGTGAGGGGAACGGCACCCCTGTACCTTCAGGCTCTGATCAGTCCCTACACCCAAACGAGGACATTGCGTTCATCCACCTCTGGCCTGCTGGCTCCCCTTCCTCTGCGGAAGCACAGCTCCCGCTCAGCCCAGTCAAAACTGTTCGCTGCTCTGGCACCCCAATGGTGGAACAAGCTCCCTCACGACGCCAGGACAGCGGAGTCACTCACCACCTTCCGGAGACATTTGAAACCCCACCTCTTTAAGGAATACCTGGGATAGGCTAAAGTATTCCTTCTAACCCCCCCCCCCCCCCCCCCCCCCCCCCCAAATTGTAAAGTGGTTATCCCACTGGCTATAGGGTGAACGCACCAATTTGTGAGTCGCTCTGGCTAAGAGCGTCTGCTAAATGACGTTAATGTGCCCTTGAGCAAGGCACTTAACCCTAATTGCTCCTGTAAGTCGCTCTGGTTAAGAGCGTCTGCTAAATGACTAAAATGTAAATGTAAAATAAGTGTAACACACACACACACTCACTTGAGCGCGATGGAGTATTTGCTGGTCCCTGATTCGCTGTCTCTAACCAGGAAGCTGGCATCCCTACAGCGCTGGAGCTGAGCCTCTGCCTGCTGGCGGCTCACACTGCCATGGTACCAGCTAGAGGAGGGGGAGGGGGGTGAAGAGAGGGATGAGGGGAAAGAGAGAGAGAAACAAACATACAGTACATATAATCTTTAGAGCTCCATAGAGGTACTGCAGAGCTTCAGAGCAGTAGATTGATGGGGATGAATGTCATATTGAAGGTTAGGGGGAGGAATATGGGGAGGGTTGGGGAGTTAGAGGACGGTAGGAGGGAGAGATAGAGAATGCTTGCTTAGCGAGTGCCACTTCCTCCTGACTTGGCTCACACTGAGGCTCGAACCCAGGACCTCTGCCTTGCTAGCACACATAACCACTCTCCTGAAGCATCTTACCAGTCAGCGCCATCAAAAAGTTAAGTATTCGCTGGCGCAGGTGGGGACACTTCAGGCTGAGGACTAAGTACAGGCTACAGCAATACACTATGACGATATACAGTCTACAGTGCCTTTAGAAAGTATTCACACCCTTTGACTTGTTCCACATTTTGTTGTGTTACAGCCTGAATTTAAAATTGATTAAATTTAGATTTTGTGTCACTGGCACAATACCCCATAATGTCAAAGTGGAATTTTGACAAATTAATAAAAAATGAAACACTGAAATGTCTTGAGTCAATAAGTATTCAACCCCTTTGTTATGGCAAGCCTAAATAAGTTCATGAGTAAAATGTGCTTAACAAGTCACATAAGAAGTTGCATGGACTCACTCTGTGTGCAATAATACTGTTTTTTAATGACTACCTCATCTCTGTACCCCACACATACAATTATCTGTAAGGTCCCTCAGTAGAGCAGTGAGTTTCAAACACAGATTCAAACACAGAGCCCAGGGAGGTTTTCCAATGCACCTATTGGTAGATGGGTACAAATAAACACAGCAGACATTGGATATCCCTTTGAGCATGGTGAAGTTATTAATTACACTTTGGATGGTGTATCAATACACCCAGTCACTACAAAGATACAGGCGTCCTTCCTAACTCAGTTGCCGGAAAGGAAGGAAACCGCTCAGAGATTTCACCATGAGGCCAACGGTGACTTTAAAACAGTTACAGAGTTTAATGGCTGTGATAAGAGAAAACTGAGGATGGATCAACAACATTGTAGTTACTCCACAATACTAACCTGGCAAAGTGAAAAGAAGGAAGCCTGTACAGAATAAAATATTCCAAAACACAGTGGTGTAAGTACTTAAGTAAAAATACTTTTAAAGTGCTACTTAAGTAGTTTTTTGGGGTATCTGTACTTTACTTTAATTTTTATATTTATGGCAACTTTTACTTTTACTTCACTACATTCCTAAAGAAAATTATGTACTTTTTACTCCATACATTTTCCCTGACACCCAAAAGTACATTTTGATAGGAAAATGGTCCAATTCACACACTTATCAAGAGAACATCCCTGGTCATCCCTACTGCCTCTGATCTGGAGGACTCACTAAACACAAATGCTTCGTTTGTAAATTATGTCTGAGTGTTGGAGTGTGCCCCTGGCTATCCGTCAATAAAAAAATATAAAAACATTGTGTGGTCTGGTTTGCTTAATATAAGGAATTTGAAATGATTTATACTTTTACTTTTACTTTGATACTGAAATACATTTTAGCAATTCCATTTACTTTTGATACTTAAGTATATTTAAAGCCAAATACTTTTAGACTTTTACTCAAGTAGTATTTTACTGGGTAACTTTCACTTTTACTTGGGTCATTTTTTATTAAGGTATCTTTACATTTACTCAAGTATGAAAATTGAGTACTTTTTCAACCACTGCCAAAACATGCATCCTGTTTGCAATAAGGCACTAAAGTAAAACTGCAACAAATGTGGCAAAGAAATTAACTTTATGTCCTGAATACAAAGTGTTATGTTTGGTGAAAATCCAACACAAGACATCACTGAGTACCACTTCATATTTTCAAGCATGGTGTTGGCGGCATCATGCTACACTACATGACCAAAAGTATGTGGACACCTGCCAGTCGAACATCTCATTCCAAAATCATGGGCATTAATAAGGAGTTGGTGCCCCCTTTGCTGCTATAACAGCCTCCACTCTTCTGGGAAGGCTTCCCACTAGATGTTGGGACATTGCTGCGGGGACTTGCTTCCATTAAGTCACAAGAGCATTAATGAGGTTGGGCACTGATGTTGGGCGATTAGGCCTGGCTCGCAGTCGGCGTTCCAATTCATTCCAAAGGGGTTAGATGGTGTTGAGGTCAGGGCTCTGTGCAGGCCAGTCAAGTTCTTCCACACAGATCTCAACAAACCATTTCTGTATGGACCTCGCTTTGGGCACAGGGGCATTGTCATGCTGAAACAGGAAAGGGCCTTCCCCAAACTGTTGCCACAAAGTTGGAAGCACAGAATCGTCTAGAATGTCATTGTATGCTGTAGCATTAAGATTTCCCTTCACTGGAACTAAGGGGCCTAGCCAGAAGCATGAAAAACAGTCCCAGACCATTATTCCTCCAACTCAAAACATTAAGGTTGGCACTATGCATTCTGGCAGGTAGCGTTCTCCTGGCATCCGCCAATCCCAGATTCGTCCGTCGGACTGCCAGATGGTGAAGCGTGATTCGTCACTCCAGGGAACGCGTTTCCACTGCTCCAGAGTCCACAAACCGTTCTCGTGCTGATGTTGCTTCCAGAGGCAGTTTGGAGCTCAGTAGTGAGTGTTGCAAACGAGGACAGGCGATTTTTACACGTTACGTGCTTCAGCACTTCAGCTTGCATTTCGTACCACTTCGCAGCTGAGCTGTTGTTGCTCCTAGACGTTTCCACTTCACAATAACAGCACTTACAGTTGACCGGGGCAGCTGTAGCAGTGCAGAAATTTTACTAACTGACTTTTTGGAAAGGTGGCATCCTATGACTAGCCGGTTACCACCCGGTTACTCAACCCTACACCTTAGAGGCTGCTGCCCTATGTACATACTGTAGACATGGAAGGAATCACTGGTCACTTTAATGATGGAACACTAGTCACTTTAATAATGTTTACATACTGCTTTACTCATTTCATTTGTATATACTGTATTCTATCCTACTGTATTTTAGTCAATGCCACTCCGACATTGCTCGTCCTAATATTTATATATGTCTTAATTGCATTCTTTACTTTTAGATTTGTGTGTATTGTTGTGAATTGTTAGATACTACTGCACTGTTGGAGCTAGGAACACAAGCATTTCGCTACACCCGCAATAACATCTGCTAAATATGTGTATGTGACCAATACAATTTGATTTGATTTGATGACGGTGCCACGTTGAAAGTCACTTAGCTCTTCAGTAAGGCCATTCTACTGCCAATGTTTGTCTGCATGGAGATTGCATGGCTTTGATGCTCAAATGTATACACCTGTGAGTAACAGGTGTGACTGAAATAGCCGAATCCAGTCATTTGAATGGGTGTCCACATACTTTTGTATATATAGTGTATCTCAATCCCCCCCCCCCCCCCCCCCCATCCAGCCTCTCCCTTCTCCTTCTCCTCTTCCCTTACCTCTGTTTCTCCATGGGCAGGGTGGGGTCCACTTTGCCTGTCTCCGCCTTGGGTGTGGAGGTGGGGGAGGGAGGAGAGGAGGATGGGGAAAGTTTGGGAGTGGGAGAAGAGTGAGAGGTGGGAGAGGGGGGAGAGGAATGAGAGAGAGGCGAGGGAGGAGAGAGTTTGAGAATGGGGGAGGTAGGGGAGGAGGGAGAGGGGACGAGGACTTTCTTGTTCCAGGTCTTCTGTCTGAGGGTCTGCTGATGACTGAGAGTCTGCTGTCTGCTGGGTGGAGGAGCTTCCTCTTTAGGGGGCGAACTGCTCATTCCCTTCTTAAACTGGACTGAAGAGAGAGAGCGGGAGGAGAGAGAGAGCGAGAGGAGAGAGAGAGAGAGAGAGAGAGAGAGAGAGAGAGAGAGAGAGAGAGAGAGAGAGAGAGAGAGAACTGTGTATTTTTGTGTATCATTGTTGTATCCAATATGTTCCCTCTCCTTCCCTCCCTCTACCTCCCTCCTTTTACCTCCCTCCCTCTGGAAAACATATATCTACCTGTCAGTGCTCTGACAATGTCCTCCTTCCTCCACTCCCAGGGTAGTTCATACTCTCCAGGGGGGCGAGGGTCTGACTCCGGCCGTGTCACAGGGATCCACACCCCTCCTGCCTCCCCCTCCGTCTCTAGCAGCCCCTCATAGGGAGTGTCGTAGATGTGGGGGGGTGTGGGCTTACCCCCTTCTCCATCTCCCTTGGGGAGCAGCACACACACCTTCAGCAGGTCCTTGGAGCCCCGCCTACGAATACCTACAAAGTCATAAGAACAATAACATAGTCACATGTTGATATCAAACCCTCAACTCAGCCATTGCAATATTACTGCTGATGTGACATAATTGTCATCCATTGTTCAGTTCTACAATCTTAGAAAAAAAAAATGCTATCTGGAACCTAAAAGGGTTCTTTGGCTGTCCCCATAGGAAAACCCTTTGAAGAACCATTTTTGGTCCCAGGTAGAACCTTTTACACAGGGGGTTCTACATGGAACCCAAAATAGTTCTGCCTGGGACCAAGAAGGGTTCTACCTGGAACCAAAAAGGGTTATCCTATGGGGTACAGCAGAAGAAACCTTTTGGAAGCCTTTTTTCTGAGAGTCTAACACACAACTTCGTAGCTTGTGATGTGGTCAGACATGTCTGTGGAGGCCAGGCCGTCAGGTAGCCTGTGTGTCTGGGCTATTGTGTGACTAAACAATGGAGCTACGGGAAGAAAGGTCAACACAGTGCCTGATTGGCTGACAGAACGGACCTCTTCCTATTCTGGGAAGTGATTGGGTGAGACCAGGAGGAGGGGGGGGGGGGGGGTGGGGGTCTTTTGGTTCTTTTCACACAAAAGTAAAGTAAAATGTAAAGTAAAATGGAAGGGGTGGGGGGGGAACAACTGGTGGCAACTTCCTTTCCAGAGAATGGGGTAAAGGAAACAGAGGCAGGAGACAGGAAGTCCAAGAGGAAGCTGCACCCATTGTCGCAGCACAACACCATTCCCATAGCAACCGCCCGTAGGGAAGGAAGTCAGGGGAGAGAGAGCGGAGGGTCTCGTTCTAGTCCGATCCTTTAAAAACCTTTTAGAGCAGTAGTCTACAACCTTGACTCTGGAGAGCTGCAGGGAGTGCAGGCTTTTGTTCCAGCCCAGCACTAACTCCAGCCCTGATTCCACTAATCAAGATCTCAATGATTAGTTGATTAACTGAGCCAGTGTGTATCAGCGCTGCGCTGGAACAAAAGCCTGGACTCCCTGTAGCTCTCCAGGACAAGATCTGACCCCTGACCTTTGACCTGACTGACCTGTGATGATGACCTGGGCGTCATAGGGCTCCATGTATCCATCGTTCTCTCCCTCCCTCTCCGCCTCCCTCTGCTCCCTCGTTTTCTCTGCGTCAAACGGGTCAGCATAGTCCTCCAGAATAATCAGCTACACAGCGGGAGAGAAGGTTTTTTTAAATGTATTTTTATTTAACCTTTATTTAACAAGGCAAGTCAGTTAAGAAAAAATTCTTATTTACAATGACGGCCTACCCCAGCCAAACCCGGACGACGCTGGGCAAATTGTGTGCCGCCCTATGGGACTCCTAATCACGGCCAGATTGTGATACAGGGTCTGTAGTGATGCCTCTAGCACTGAGATGCAGTGCCTTAGACCGCTGCGCCACTCTACCTAACCTTCACAGTATTATACTGTAGGCCTTCTGCCAGAGTAACTGCAATAACCTATGTAATTACACTGTAACAGTCTAGTTGGTATGGAAACGTCTCCTTTACGATCTGGGAATGTTTCTTGGGGAATCTCCCCTGCTCTGTGCTCTGTGTGTGTCTTCCCTCCCATGGCTCTGTGTGTGTCTGAGTGTTTACGTGTCTGTCTGACTGCCTGTATGATCTTTATGAAAGTGGATCCAAAGCGATCTGAGCTACCTGTGGGAGAGCTACAGTCACAACAGTGTTAGGTGATATTATGCCTCAGACAAAGCCTTCACTGGGGGCAGAAATAGAGGAGGAGAAAGAGGTATAGTGTGTGTGTGTGTGTGTGTGTGTGTGTGTGAGTGCGTGCGTGTGTGTGTGACAGCAGTTAGGGGGAAAGGAAAGGAAGGGACACAGGAAGACAGACTGGGGGAATGAGGTTAGGTCTCATTGTGTGTTTTCTGTACGGCTGGTCCCGAGCGCTGTGGCATGAATGCAGCTGGTTCTAAAAGCACAGTGCATTGTGTGGTGAGGAAAGAAAGACAAGAGGGGGGAGGGAGGGGTAGAGACAAAGGCTGAGGTGGGAGAGAGATACTGATCACAACTCTCAGAGCTACAGTTCTTTCTTTATATCAGTGCACACATACATGTATGGAAGCTCGTTCCCTCCACCCAAAATAATAATAATCTGACTATGAGATAGTAAGTCATAATTATGAGATAGTAAGTAATTGTAATGAGATACTAAGTCATAATTATGAGATAGTAAGTCGTTATTATGAGACAATACGTCATAATCATGAGAGTAAGTCATAATAATGCGATACTAGGTCAGAATTCTGAGATAGTAAGTCATTATTAGGAGATACTAAGTCATAATTATGAGATAGTAAATCATTGTTATGAGATAGTTCATCATAATTATGAAATACGTTTAGGCAATCAGTATTACGTGAATCACACATTTTGTGTGTGTGTGTGTGCGCTTTTGTGTGTGTGTGAGAGAGAGCAAGAAAGAGAGAGAGAGAGAGAGAGGGAGAGAAACATGTCCATGAATTATAATCCACATAATAATTCACATTTCCTGTTGTTGCAGGATTATATATATTTTTTGTATTTATTAGGGATCCCCATTAGCTGCTACTCTTCCTGGGGTCCAAACATATTAAAGCACTTATATTACATATAAAACAAAAGATAAAACAGTACATCATATAACATTATTACACCTCTACATATCTACAATACAAAATGTTTAATAGCACCATACAACAATATCACTATGTGTGCGTATGCATGTGTCTGTACCTTTGTGTGTGTGTAAGATCCTACATCTGTATGTGAGAGTCCTTGTGTCTATGTATTTAAGAGTGGTTACATTTCTCCTGCCCCATTCCTCAGCTGTTTACCAAATAAAGTGGCGGGGAGTACGCTTTGTTCTTGTTTGAATCACAGATTTCCTTTTTAAAAGGGGTCGTGGCCTGCAGGACTTTTCAATGTCCATGATCCAGACTTATTATCTCATAATTATAAATATAATGAGCTTCCATATGCTTCCATACACATACCACAATAAACAACAGGATCAAATGTGAATTACAGTAAGCCTAATAACACTGTAGGGCTAATTATAGCATTATAGCATATATTGTTGCTGCCAAATGCCTTTTTCATTTTTGTTTGTTCAATCTAAGACTTTGTTGACAAAGATGTCAGTACCAAATCTGAGCCACTCACCATCGCTGATTTGATGTCCGCCTTCCCCCTCTCGTTTTCGAATCCCACCTGTTCACTTGTACCGCTGTTTTTGGGGCCCTTGTCCTGTTTGTCCACCTTGATCATCCTGCTGATGTACGCATGCGCCAAACTGGATGTCCTGGTGGGCCGATGCTCCTCAGATGCCCCCGTCTCGAGCTTGGAATTCTTCCTACTCTTCCCAGGGATGAGACTGTCCCAGATCTTACCGTCCTTAAACGAGTTCCCGCCAGTACCCGAGCCGTTCCGACCCAGTTCGATGGCCGAGTTTTTCCGGTTTCTCCCGGTCAGTATAGAGCCCATCCCTCCAGCACTTTCCTTGACCCGGTTCCCCTTCAGACTGGTCCCCGGGGTTAGCCCGTGTCTGGGTCGTGTTTGAGGGCCGGATTCGGAGGCTGAGCGGACGCGTTCGGTCCCGTTCTTCAGATTGATGGGGAAACTGAACCACTTTGCCATGGCTGGTTACGATCAATGACCGTTTTTTTCTTTCTAGCTTTGGCTTTAAACTTATCCTAATATAACACACTCACTTAGGTCTACGTAGTCTTACTTTTTATAAGTCATCCGCAATCGAGACACAGAGAATAGTTGGTAAGCCTACATAAAACTTTCCAAGCACATTCATCCACGACCACATAGGCCTACGTTTACGCACGGCGCGCCTGGTATCTTATCCGATTTACCCCTTTTGTGATGTTAATTTCTTTCAACAAATTATTCATAATGATTTCTACAGCATAAATTTGGTAGTAAATGTTCTCATAGAATTTCAACCCCAAACTTCACCCCATCTGTCGCTTGACCCACTCCTTTCATCGACTTGAAACGCCTATAATATCTATTTCTGACAGTCGCTATCTCTTTATCTCGAAGCTATCCCCGCAGTTTAAAGAGTAATCTTTGGAGAGCGTAGAATCGGAAGAACTGGAAGTTTTTCTTCGCACTCACTAATGATGATCCCATTCCCGGAGCGACTGATGTATAGAGCGGGCTGTCAAAGCTGAGTGCTGGAGAGAGAAGTGCGTGTGTGAGAGAAAGAGTTTGGTGGAGTTGGGAAATGGGTGTGGTGGTGGACTAGCCTACAGCAGAATGGTCAAAAAACGCCTATAACTATGCCTATAGTAGGCTATTATTCACTAACAGGGAGGAGACAGGGCAGCTTTGGCAACGCATTTCTCAATTGATGGTCATTCTTAGCCAACATGTTGTGAATTTAATCATTAATTTGAGATTTTTTTAAAATTAATTGTTTTCCTACATTTATTTAGTAGTCATCATAGCCATATTACAACATAGCCAATATTTATTAATCAACATAGCCAATATTTATTAATCAACATAGCCAATATTAACCTACATTGTATGAAGGTGGTGTGTGCAACACAACAGGCTGCAATTAAACATTTCATCCAAAAATATGAACACAGCTTGAATTCACATGTTTGGGCACCACAATGAGTGAGAAAATATTTTTTCAAAACAAGAAAATATGTCATTTGTGGGGAGAATTTTTCATCGAGGGAAAGATTCTCATGCTTTCGTTGACATTTCATCGGTCGATTCAGGTTACTATAATAAACTGTCCCCTAGTCCTCTGTCCTAATTTCCAATAACCTGTCATAACTAGGCCATGTGTGCTAAAGGCGCCCTCTGCCGGGGATATGGTAGATCAAGTGGAACGGTTAGACTATTTGGTTGGTTTGGTATGGGACGCGTGGAATTTGAGGAGCGCAAACTGATTCATGCACAAGTTGTGATGCGTTTCGTTTGTTTGTTTCTGCATTAGCTTACCTCATTCTTAGCAGTTAAAAAATTGTATTATGACAATCACAGCACTAGGCATTTTCATTCACAAAGACTTCTCCCCTGGGTCAATTTATCACAGATTGACAGACCAGACTCACCAATATTCAAAGCGGGCGCTGTCTAGAGCACCGCCTACTGCTATGTGTTCAACCAATACCTGTATTCCCTCTAGCGGGGCTGGGCGGTTCGTTTGACATCGGTCACAAAGGTAACAGGTTGGAGCTGTATATAACGAACTGTCTGTCTCGAAAAATTGATATACGCTGCTTTTTCAGAAGTATTTTCAGCCTGATTTAAACCTTGTTTTTATTAACACCAAGTAAAACAACAGAAGAGGACTCGAAAATAAATTGATGAGTTGTACTACTTTGGCCAAATAGCAGGTATGTTTTGGATGTTGTTTAGTTCGCTCTAGTTAGCTAACGTGTATAGTTAGCAAGCTAGCTACCGAACTAACCCAGTCAGCTAGCTAGCTAGTTATGACAGTATTTTAGGGTTAACTTGCTCATTACAGACACATAGCTAACTAATACATTTGCCCGCTCCGTCTTTGATAACTTGCTATCTTGTTGGTGTCTAACCTAAGTTAACTTTTAATGATGGCAGAACGGTGCTGGATAACGTCACTCAGAATTTAAATGCGAAGGTCACGGAGCAGGTGTAACATTGCAATGCCTCATCTAGATCTCTCCCGTAGTGAAATTCTCATTTAAAACCATGTGTACAGTCAGTGTACCCATCTGTCAATGTCACACATTCTCTTTTTACATGTCAGTTATTTGACGCTTTCTCAGAGCTCAACTTCAACAACTTGTCTCACTGCCTCTCTTCTCCCAACAAGTTTCACTTCAGCTAGATGAAACTGTGACGCATACACTGAAGAATTCAATGTAGCGAGTGAACTCTGTTCAAAAGAGACCCAGCATATGTTATCTAAGCTATTTACCATTCTCTGTCATTTTATTGGCCAACATTCAGTGATTACTCATGGAGATGTGGCCTACAGAAATTGGCAAGGGTGTTGTCTCATCTGATGCAAGATCACAGGTGTTAGGTGTTTGATAAGATGTTGATACGAATTAAAACTTTACATTGATGTCTATTCATTATTGTGGCTGTTAGCATGTATAATTGAACACAGCAGTGTATTGATGACCGATGGGAGAAAGCTCAGCCTGAGGGCCCTTTTTTACTGTTGCCACAGGCACAGTTACAGAGAGGGAGGGAGGAAGAGAGAGAGATGACTGTTTACAGATTGGTTGCTCTTAGAGCGAGCGGTGTCTGGTGTAAGTCAAGAATGTAATAAAGAGGCAGCATGGATGAATGAAGGGATGAATTGCCAATCACCAAGGAAACAGTCTTAACTGAAGGACTGTCTTGGGGACCCAAGTTGGTGTGGTATTTACATTTTCTAATGACACCAGCTAATGATAATAACACACATATACAGTACCAGTCAAAAGTTTGGACACACCTACTCATTCAAGGGTTTTTCTTCAGTTCAGAAGAGTTTGTGCATATATTATGACATTTTGTGACTCTTTTTTTGTGTTAGTTTTGGACTTTTTTCTTTTTGGCTGTTCGGCCACAGTTTTTCTCGAGGCAAGCCGAAGTCGGTAGCCGAAGTCGGTAGCCGAAGTCGGTAGCACCGTCCCTTACCTTTCTCTCTAAAGTACATAGTGTGATGCACTGGCTAAACAGAAGCCTGTTGGTCTTAACCTCAGACAAGTATCCACAGTCAATCTCTGATGCAGGTCCGGTCAGCTGCCTCATGTACTTCTCTCCAGAGAGAGACAGAGATTTGGAACCCAGGGGAGGGATAGAGAGGTTAGGGAGATGGAGAGGTTAGGGAGATGGTGAGAGGGGGAGGTTAGGGAGATGGTGAGAGGTTAGGGAGATGGTGAGAGGGAGAGGTTAGGGAGATGGTGAGAGGGAGAGGTTAGGGAGATGGTGAGAGGGAGAGGTTAGGGAGATGGTGAGAGGGAGAGGTTAGGGAGATGGTGAGAGGTTAGGGAGATGGTTAGAGAGAGGTTAGCGAGAGGGTCAGGTGCAGAACAGTGATAAAAGCGAGGCAAATAGACAGCCAGATGGAGGGAGGGAAAGATGGAGAGGGCGAGGGGGAAGAAGAGTGTTGCATTCCCAGAATTTCTGCCCTCATTTTCTGCACCACGTCGTTTGGACAATAGGATGGGCTCCCCCTCTGTCCCCTGACAGTCTCTCCTTACCCTGGCCCTCTCCTCTCCACTGTCCCCTTTCACTGCTTAGCAGCTGAACTGGCCTGTTGGAAGTGGCTTGACACACTGACACCCAGAAAGATTGGGAGAGAGAGAGAGGCATAGAAAGGGAGATGGAATGAGAGAGGGAAATGGTTGGGGTCCACTCCTGTGTTCCTGTTATGTTTGGTCCTATTCAATGCTCCCTGCTGAGACTGAGCCTCTGTGTCTCACACGCGCGCAAGCAAGCAGTGTTTCCCAATATTTTTCAGTACCAGGGACAGGCAAGCAATGCTCCTCCCTCCTTAGAGTTGCCAAGTGCCTAGATTAAACTGTAGAATGGAATAAATCAATGTGAGGAGGTCAACAACATACTCCCTAGGACCAGGGATTGAGAAACACTGCTTTAAACTCAGCCTCTAAAACTGATTATGGATGATTAGCCTATACATGCAGAAAGAAAGGTTGGCGTTGAAGATCCTTTGTGTCTGTTGACCTATATTTGAAATAAATAGCCTAGGCTTTCTGTTGCCCTCTGTCTGAAATACCTAACTTGTAGCTGTCTTTCTGTTGCCTCTGTATCAAATACCTAACTTGTAGCTGTCTTTCTGTTGCCGCTGTCTGAAAGACCTAACTTGTAGCTGTCTTTCTGTTGCCTCTGTCTGAAAGACCTAACTTGTAGCTGTCTTTCTGTTGCCTCTGTCTGAAAGACCTAACTTGTAGCTGTCTTTCTGTTGCCTCTGTCTGAAAGACCTAACTTGTAGCTGTCTTTCTGTTGCCTCTGTCTGAAAGACCTAACTTGTAGCTGTCTTTCTGTTGCCTCTGTCTGAAAGACCTAACTTGTAGCTGTCTTTCTGTTGCCTCTGTCTGAAAGACCTAACTTGTAGCTGTCTTTCTGTTGCCTCTGTCTGAAAGACCTAACTTGTAGCTGTCTTTCTGTTGCCTCTGTCTGTCTGAAAGACCTAACTTGTAGCTGTCTTTCTGTTGCCTCTGTCTGTCTGAAAGACCTAACTTGTAGCTGTCTTTCTGTTGCCTCTGTCTGAAAGACCTAACTTGTAGCTGTCTTTCTGTTGCCTCTGTCTGAAAGACCTAACTTGTAGCTGTCTTTCTGTTGTACTCTGTCTGAAAGACCTAACTTGTAGCTGTCTTTGGCACCTCTTCACCACCACTTGCCACTTAGCCATTAGGAGGTGTGTGTGTGTGTGTGACTGTGTTTGTGTCACGGTCGTCTGCACTAATGTACAGTTACGGGGTGCTTTTTCATTGGCACACTTTGGATGGCTGTCTTAGGGCGAGGTATGCGCTAAGTGATGAGCTGAACTGTCTACACACACTAGAGTTGTAACGATTATGGAATTTGGGGTAACGATTAATTGTCATGCAAATGGTCATGGTTATTGTCATTTTTGTTGCAAAAATGTTGTGAGCTTATAATGCATCTGTAAAAATGAGTTAGGACATACTTAATGAATACCACACAGCTTTGGTGACAACCCTGTCTAAAAAACCAATGGAATTGACCACTTGGAACGTTTGGAAATGAACCTTCTCCTTCCGATTGTGCCATTCTGCTTGTAAAATTATTAAAAACTTTCCCACTTCATGTAAAAATAGAAAAACTGCTATTGAGTAAACAATCTACTTGAATATAAAGTTGAATCCCCTCTCTACTAAAATTAATGTATTAAGACGATTATAATTTTTAGTTCGTTATTGTCCTTAATTGTCGGTTACATGATTATACAATAATTGTGCCAAGCCTCAAACACACACACACACACACACCCACCTAGTTGGATTGACAGATTAACTGCAACCTCCTTATTAATGTTGTCTTACTCATATGGCACACCACTCTGTTTCAAATAGTCTACCTCATCGCTGAGGGAGAGGTATGGTTAGGCTACCTCAACGCTGAGGGAGAGGTATGGTTAGGCTACCTCAACGCTGAGGGAGAGGTATGGTTAGGCTACCTCAACGCTGAGGGAGAGGTATGGTTAGGCTACCTCAACGCTGAGGGAGAGGTATGGTTAGGCTACCTCAACGCTGAGGGAGAGGTATGGTTAGGCTACCTCAACGCTGAGGGAGAGGTATGGTTAGGCTACCTCAACGCTGAGGGAGATGGTGTACTTAAACTCTCTCTCCCTCTCCCTGAATAGGTTCAGAGAGCCAGGGCTTTGATTTATACTGGACGCCATATATAAACTGCACCCAAGATCTTCACTGACCCGCTTTACAACACCACTGATCACCTGTGAGCGTGTGTGCGTGCTTGTACATAATTAATTCCAGAGTGTGTATGAGGAGTGCAGGCATGTGTGGGGGCAGGGCTTCCTATCCACAGGAACAAGAGCATGACATTGGTGTTATCACCACCACGGCACACACTGATAAGAAAGGAGAAACTGTGTACTCTCTGTTTTTGTGTGTTTCAGTGAGCGAGAGAGGGAAGCAGTGGGAGAATGAAAGTTTGTCTGTGCGTGAAAGAGGGAGAGGAGGAGAGAGCGAGAGAGAGAACGAGTGGGACCGGGGTCAGTGCCTGTTGTTGTAGTTGGTTGGTTAGTGCAAAGGAGACATGTTAATGAGGCATGCAGTGTAATGACCTAGTGATGAGAGCTGACCATGTTAATGAGGCATGCAGTGTAATGACCTAGTGATGAGAGCTGACCATGTTAATGAGGCATGCAGTGTAATGACCTAGTGATGAGAGCTGACCATGTTAATGAGGCATGCAGTGTAATGACCTAGTGATGAGAGCTGACCATGCTAATGAGGCATGCAGTGTAATGACCTAGTGATGACAGCTGACCATGTTAATGAGGCATGCAGTGTAACGACCTAGTGATGAGAGCTGACCATGTTAATGAGGCATGCAGTGTAATGACCTAGTGATGAGAGCTGACCATGTTAATGAGGCATGCAGTGTAACGACCTAGTGATGAGAGCTGACCATGTTAATGAGGCATGCAGTGTAACGACCTAGTGATGAGAGCTGACCATGTTAATGAGGCATGCAGTGTAATGACCTAGTGATGAGAGCTGACCATGTTAATGAGGCATGCAGTGTAACGACCTAGTGATGAGAGCTGACCATGTTAATGAGGCATGCAGTGTAACAACCTAGTGATGAGAGCTGACCATGTTAATGAGGCATGCAGTGTAATGACCTAGTGATGAGAGCTGACCATGTTAATGAGGCATGCAGTGTAACGACCTAGTGATGAGAGCTGACCATGTTAATGAGGCATGCAGTGTAATGACCTAGTGATGAGAGCTGACCATGTTAATGAGGCATGCAGTGTAACGACCTAGTGATGAGAGCTGACCATGTTAATGAGGCATGCAGTGTAACGACCTAGTGATGAGAGCTGACCATGTTAATGAGGCATGCAGTGTAATGACCTAGTGATGAGAGCTGACCGTGTTAATGAGGCATGCAGTGTAATGACCTAGTGATGACAGCTGACCATGTTAATGAGGCATGCAGTGTAACGACCTAGTGATGAGAGCTGACCATGTTAATGAGGCATGCAGTGTAATGACCTAGTGATGAGAGCTGACCGTGTTAATGAGGCATGCAGTGGAATGACCTAGTGATGAGAGCTGACCATGTTAATGAGGCATGCAGTGGAATGACCTAGTGATGAGAGCTGACCATGTTAATGAGGCATGCAGTGGAATGACCTAGTGATGACAGCTGACGTGGCACAGGTCACCATAGAGCAAGACAGAGAGGGAGGGGGGAACTCCTGAGACATTTCAACACATGAACAGTCGGACATCAACAGTCTAAAAACATCAGAGATGAAGATCAAGTGATAAAGGGGCATCGAGAGAGGGAGGGAGGGAGACTGAGTTGACGGAATGAGGGAAACGGAGGGAGGATCATTCACAAGGAGTGGCTTTGGATCATGTGTGATTACAGTTGAGTGATCTAATAAAGATCCTAGATTGAGGAAGGAGACTCACCTTTGCTGGGCTGGTTGGGCAGGGCTGGCCTAGGCAGGGATTTCGAAGGAAAAGAGGAAACTAAACCAAGTGGAAGTAAAGAGAGAGCGAGCGAGTACACTGGGAGAAGTGTGTGACACACACGTAAGGGGAGTCAGAGAGTGGGAAGTAGTGTGTGTGTTTCCAGGTTAATGAATAATGAAGGTCAATAAGAACAAAGTCTGTTCTAAAGCAACTCCACTGAGACTCATTCTCTCACACACCTTTTGTAACTTGCAAACACAATACAAACACACACAGTCCACTTTCTCTGTGTCTGCATGACATTCATACCAGTCAGATATTCAGTTTACATACTTTCCCGGGAGAGCAAACAATAAATGACTGCTGTCACATTCACTTCTTTAAAGTATGAGACTTGGAATAGCTGTACTGATATTGTCTCTTCCCCTCTTGCTGTCTCCCCTCCTCCTCTGACCCCGTCCCCGCTCTCGCTCCCTCTCTCTCTCCCTCCCCAGTATGAGTACTCCGTCGTCAGGTCGTAAGAGCCCCGTTGACTACGGGGTTCAGATCCGCTTCATCAGTGACTCTGGAGGGGGGATCCCCTCAACCCAGCCCAGACCCAAGCCCCCCTCCACTTCGAAGTACGGGGTGGCTGTCAGGGTCCAGGGCATCGCCGGACAGCCCTATGTGGTTCTGAAGGACGGGGGCCCGAAGGGAGATTCGTACGGGGTGCAGCTCCGTACCCACTACCCCCCGGGTTGCAGCAGTCTGCCCCGCAGGAGAGACAGAGAGGAGGGAGGGGGGCAGGGAGGAGCGGGAGAGGGGGGAGGAGGAGGGCAGGGAGGGGCGCTACGCAGGGCACAGTCACATGGTTCATTACTGGAGAGTGAGGGGGGAGGAGGATTTGGGAGACCACCAGGGGATGGGAGGTCTGGTAGCTATGGGAACCTGGATGGAGGGATTGGGGTCGCGGAAGAGAGAACGGATGGAGGAGGGGTGAGGGAGGGGGGTATGGAGAGCAATGTAATGTGTGGGTCGTATCAGTCCGGGCTCAATGGGTCACTGGGGAGGGGAGGGGGGAGTCAGTATGCCCTTGACCTCCATCCTTCCCAAACAGTGCAGCCCCCCCTGACCACGGCAAACCCCCACCCCCAGACCACCCCTTACCCAGCACAGCCCCACCGCCAGAACCCTGTCAACAGACTGATCAGCAGGTTTGACGGCAGCAGCAGTACCAGAGGACAACAGAGGGGGCGCTCTCCTGTAGCAGAGGACCCTAGAGACACCGCCTCTCCTTCCCACGCCCCCAACCCCTACTCCTCCCCTCCCTCCTCCACTCACTGCAGCCTGGGGCAGGGCCAAGGCTCCGTCGGCAAGGCAACGGTCCAACCAGCCAATCCGTGGGCTCCGCCAGGGAGGTTTGTCGCTGTGGAGACGCCGTCAGCCAATCGGACAGACCCTCTGGTAAGAGACTGGACAAGAGGGGAGAGCGGTTACTAACTAGTACACTATCAGTACCTCCAGTAAAGTTTAAAAACGTACTAATACTGAGCTCTGTCTAAAGGTGACCCCTGACCTTCTGCTTCAGAGTTCAGAGGTCACCAGTGAGGAGGAGCAGGTCATGCAGACCATCTACAGCATCCTCAGAGAAGGGTACAGCATTTATCTTACTGTGTCATTCACCATTACTTCAGGCCAGTTATCAACATCCTTCTGACCATGTGTGTTTGACCTGTTGTTCTTCACCCCTCAGGACTAGTGAGAGTGACTCGATCATCAGACACAAAGTCAGGGTGATTTTCCAGAAGATCCAGGGACTCAAGGTACTTTAATATACATCTCTATACACCTGAGTAGTACTGGACTCAAGAATTCATACCCTTTGACTTATTCTACATTTGTGACCACAGGCTCGATTCAGTCCTATGTAGCAAAATTTGAAATAGTGTTTTTTACATTGGATAAAAGTAGAGACTCAGAGCTAGAAAATGGTATGTCATACACTACAGATGAGGAACAATGGGAAAGTAATTCTGCTTTGAAAGTTGATAAACTTCCTCAATTTTGAGAAAATGACCCTTGAATGTTTTGGTACACCTACTGGAGAGCTCTTCTTTGTCTACACCCATTCAGCACTTTCACACCCTCTTAAGCTTTAGCCCCACCCATCTCTTTAAGGATTCACATGTGAGGCCATGTACTTAACAACCAAAGATTTCAAGACTAAAGGCTGGTTTATACTACGGGTGTGTTCATAAATTTAATCTGGAGTGTGCTCTGGGCGTTCGTAAACTGAGCGTTGTCAGATTGTCCGTTCGTAAATTCAGAGCGTTTCGCTCTCGGAACATTCAGAGCGCACACTGGAGTAGAGTTGATCCGAGCGTTCTGTCCTAACAACAGCAGTCAAGCACCCAAGCTAACTGGCTAACGTTGGCTAGCTTGCTAGCTACTTCCAGACACAAATGAGAGAACAGGTCACTGACCAGTTTACTCGCCCTAGCAGAGCTGGTTAGGCTGTTTTTATGTTATTCAGAGCGCTGGTGACTGCAACTGTGCTGCTGGCAACAATTTAATTACGCTTTTTTGCCAATGTTTACTGACACCGGCCATATTCAACGGCTGTTGAGCGTTCGTAAATTCGTCAGTTATTCTGCGCTCTGGCACACTCAGACGAGAGTGCTCTGAAATCGGAGTAGATAGCCAGAGCGAATTTACCAGCTACATCTATCGACAGTTGTCGCAGTGACATGAACATTCTATTGAAATGGTTACTTGCATAGTGGAGTCTTTTGTTTAGACATGTAGCTAGCTAACTAGTGAAACAATGAACCATAATCCCAACTCATAAAGTTACTACCCTGCATGAATCTGCAGGTAGCTAACCAACCAGGTTCAATGTTACCTAGCTAACATTAGGCTATAACTAGCAATGCAAATGGCTCTGAGATACGAATAATATTACTACACAGATCATACACGTAACATTAGCTAGCGCGCCAGCCAGCTAACGTTAGCTAGCTAACAGTACAGTTTAACTTGACTAGCTAACAGTACAGTTTAACTTGAAATGAAAACGACTTTCTGACAAAATTAGAAACGTGTAATATCTGAAAATGTAGCTAGCTAGACTCTCTTACCCGTATACATGGTTGAACGCTTCTCCCTCTCTGTCACGGATGCCATGGTTGTCCTTAGTTTGAAGATGTAATCCAGAGACAGGTGTTTGATACCACAGCCTTCTGTGTGTTCTCTTTTTGACTCCGTCTGCATATTTGCAATCAAACGCCAGAATTTTCTCCATCTCCTTAGCTATCATACTCTAATTCCACTGATTTCAAAACTCAGTCCTCCAGAAATTGGAGTGCAACATTTATGAAGTTCTACTACGTGATATATTTTCAAAAAAGCTGCTTTAGAAAGGATTACCTACACATACCGGCCAGCTCACGTTATAGACAGAAGCGTGCTACATGGCAGACCAATCCGAACTCATTTCTCGGCATGTCCAGCCCTCTCATTATCTCAGCCAATTATGGCTAGCGGGAAGGTTGCTGTCTTTTTCCGTGGCTAAACCAACTAGGCTCGTAATCTAACCATTTTATTCATATTTACAGATGGCATACAAGTTTGTTATAATGGCACATGAAGTTCACATTTCTGGCCAAAAACGCATTTTGATAAAAAATTACTTTACGTTCAAATGGCTCTCCTGTGTAGTGACGCGCGACATACGCCTAGTTTCCTCAAACGAGTCACATTTTGTTGTGTTACTTCCTGATTTCAAAATGGATTAATGCTGCAATATGTTAATTTTTGGGCGACCTGACCAAATTCACATAGAAATGTGAGCTATAGATCTGTCATCATCATTGAAAGCAAGTCTAAGAATCTATTTATTGTGGCCATCGAGATGTTAGCTATTAAAATCAGATCCAACAATAATATCAGGGGATTAGAAATCCAGGGCTTAAAAACAAAGGTGTCATTGTATGCTGATGATTCATGTTTTCTTTTAAATCCACAACTAGAATCACTCCACAGCCTCATAGAGGATCTAGATACATTTTCTAACCTCTCTGGATTACAACCAAGTTATGACAAATGTACTATATTACGTATTGGATCAATAAAAAATACAATTTTTACATTGCCATGTAGTTTACCAATAAAATGGTCTGATGTGGATATACTCGGAATACATATCCCAAAGGAAATAAATGATCTCACTTCAATAAATTATAATAGAAAGTTAGCAAAAATAGATAAGATCTTGCTACCATGGAAAGGTGGATGCCTGTCAATTTGTGGAAAAATCACCCTGATTAACTCTTTAGTATTATCCCAGTTTACCTATTTGCTTATGGTCTTGCCTACGCCTAGCGAACAGTTTTTTAAATTATATGAGAAAAAAATATTCAATTTTATTTGGAACGGCAAGCCAGACAAAATTAAACGGGCCTATTTATATAATGAATATGAATTCGGAGGACAGAAATTATTAAATATTAAAGCATTAGACCTATCACTAAAAGCTTCAGTCATACAAAAGTTATACTTAAATCCGAACTGGTTCTCAAGCAAATTAGTAAGATTGTCTCACCCAATGTTCAATTTCAATTTAATCCTCCAGAAACTCCAGAACAAATAATGCAACAAATATTGTGGTTAAACTCAAATATATTAATTGACAAAAAGCCTTTTTTTTTTTTTGACAAAATGTTTTAAAAATGTATAATCTTTGTAAATGATATCATCGGTAGGACTGGTGGGGTTATGTCGCACATGCAGCTAACAAAAACATATGGAAATGTCTGCTCTACCCAAAATTACAACCAAATAATTGCAGCCTTACCGCAAAAATGGAAGAGGAAAGTGGAAGGAGGAGAAAGTAAGGAACTTGTCTGTCGGCCTTGCATTAAAGAACATAATTGGTTAAGGAAAACTGTGATAAATAAAAAGATATATCAGTTTCATTTTTAAGGACCAAAGGATTGACAGCCGTCCCATATAGATTGCAAAATAGTTGAGAAGAGATTTTTGACGTACCGATCCCATGGCATAGTGTTTATGAACTGATACGCAAAACGACACCGCATTCAAAACTTTGAATCTTTCAATTTAAATTTGTATATAAAATTCTTGCTACCAATAGAATGTTATTTACAGTGGGGGAAAAAAGTATTTAGTCAGCCACCAATTGTGCAAGTTCTCCCACTTAAAAAGATGAGAGAGGCCTGTAATTTTCAGCATAGGTACACGTCAACTATGACAGACAAAATGAGATTTTTTTTCTCCAGAAAATCACATTGTAGGATTTTTTTATGAATTTATTTGCAAATTATGGTGGAAAATAAGTATTTGGTCACCTACAAACAAGCAAGATTTCTGGCTCTCACAGACCAGTGACTTCTTCTTTAAGAGGCTCCTCTGTCCTCCACTCGTTACCTGTATTAATGGCACCTGTTTGAACTTGTTATCAGTATAAAAGACACCTGTCCACAACCTCAAACAGTCACACTCCAAACTCCACTATGGCCAAGACCAAAGAGCTGTCAAAGGACACCAGAAACAAAATTGTAGACCTGCACCAGGCTGGGAAGACTGAATCTGCAATAGGTAAGCAGCTTGGTTTGAAGAAATCAACTGTGGGAGCAATTATTAGGAAATGGAAGACATACAAGACCACTGATAATCTCCCTCGATCTGGGGCTCCACGCAAGATCTCACACCGTGGGGTCAAAATGATCACAAGAACGGTGAGCAAAAATCCAAGAACCACACGGGGGGAACTAGTGAATGACCTGCAGAGAGCTGGGACCAAAGTAACAAAGCCTACCATCAGTAACACACTACGCCGCCAGGGACTCAAATCCTGCAGTGCCAGACGTGTCCCCCTGCTTAAGCCAGTACATGTCCAGGCCCGTCTGAAGTTTGCTAGAGTGCATTTAGATGATCCAGAAGAGGATTGGGAGAATGTCATATGGTCAGATGAAACCAAAATAGAACTTTTTGGTAAAAACTCAACTCGTCGTGTTTGGAGGACAAAGAATGCTGAGTTGCATCCAAAGAACACCATACCTACTGTGAAGCATGGGGGTGGAAACATCATGCTTTGGGGCTGTTTTTCTGCAAAGACTGTGAGAGACGGAATCTAAAACAAAAATCCAGAAAATCACATTATATGATTTTAAAGTAATTAATTTGCATTTTATTGCATGACATAAGTATTTGATCACCTACCAACCAGTAAGAATTCCGGCTCTCACAGACCTGTTAGTTTTTCTTTAAGGAGCCCTCCTGTTCTCCACTCATTACCTGTATTAACTGCACCTGTTTGAACTCGTTACCTGTATAAAAGACACCTGTCCACACACTCAATCAAACAGACTCCAACCTCTCCACAATGGCCAAGACCAGAGAGCTGTGTAAGGACATCAGGGATACAATTGTAGACCTGCACAAGGCTGGGATGGGCTACAGGACAATAGGCAAGCAGCTTGGTGAGAAGGCAACAACTGTTGGCGCAATTATTAGAAAATGGAAGAAGTTCAAGATGACGGTCAATCACCCTCGGTCTGGGGCTCCATGCAAGATCTCACCTCGTGGGGCATCAATGATCATGCGGAAGGTGAGGGATCAGCCCAGAACTACACGGCAGGACCTGGTCAATGACCTGAAGAGAGCTGGGACCACAGTCTCAAAGAAAACCATTAGTAACACACTACGCCGTCATGGATTAAAATCCTGCAGCGCACGCAAGGTCCCCCTGCTCATGCCAGCGCATGTCCAGGCCCGTCTGAAGTTTGCCAATTACATCTGGATGATCCAGAGG